TGTGTGTGTGTGTGTGTGTGTGTGTGTGTGTGTGTGTACATGCACTGTATCAGTGTGTGACTGAGGCTCAGAGGATTTTTATATTTCACCAGGATCTCCTGTGGAGGAACTCAAAGTTTCTGTTGTTGTTACTTTAAAACAAAAAAGACGCGTCCAGTTCTAACGATGTCACCGTCGTGGCAGTACATCCACCAGAGGGCAGCACAGAGTCAACACATGTTGACCATAGGGGTTGTGATAAAGTTCATATTGTCTCAGGTGAATAATAACGATTCTGTAGTTTCTGTCAAACACAAAGTTTCTCCTCAGAAAACTTCAGCATACGATTGGCTACACTGCCCCCCCATGGCTTCCTGTGGTACTGCTGCAAATCATTAAGCTTCAGAATATGAACGATCAAAGTCAGGGTTGACCTCGACCTGAATCCTCTCTGCAGCAGAGATAAGAGTCTGTTTGAATCCTTCACCTCCTTCCTCCTTCCATCACTCCGACAACATCACATTAGTTCTTCAGACACACACACACCTCCTCCTCCTCCTCCTCCTCCTCCTCTCTTCACCTGTGTATTACCGTCACATTTGAAATGCCACAGATCAAGGTTGAGGGTTTGATTCTCTTCCTGTAGTTCCAGGATGTGTCTCAGTCTGATGCTGTGGTTCAGTGATGTGAGGATTTCACATCGTATAATAATCTACAACAGAAGAATGTCTGCTGGGCTCAGATCAGAGGAGCCGACTCTGTCCTGAGTCTCATTAACAGACGAGTCAAGGACGCGTCGTGAATCTCTGACATATTTTCACATCTGAGGACGAATGAGATGAAAAGTTTTCAGCAGCTTTGAACCTGAACCTGGAAAATCCTCCAGTTTCTTTAATCAAGGAGAAAACGTCTGATACGCGAGAGGAGGAGGAGGAAGAGGAGGAGGAGGAGGAGGAGGAGGAGGAAGAGGAAGAGGAAGAGGAAGAGGAGGAGGAGGAAGAGGAAGAGGAGGAGGAAGAGGAAGAGGAGGAGGAGGAGGAGGAGGAGGAAGAGGAGGAGGAGGAGGAGGAAGAGAAACTAAGAGGTGAGGTGATGATGAGACATGTTCAACCTCAGCAATGAAGATGATGATGAACGTGATGATGTCATCACCACTGAGAAGTTCGACTGATGTCAACATGGGCAGAGTCAACTACAACTCCCATGATGCATTTCAGTAACAAACATCCAATCACAGAGCTCCATTCTTTAAAATCGAATCATCTTGAATCTGAATCTGATTTTTAATTTACAGCTTCTCTGATTCACTCTTCTTCTCCATAGCAACAGCAGCCGAGGCTTATGGGTAATGTAGTGTTCAAACGCCTCGAGGAAAATTCTTCATGCTCAGTTCACAGACGAACTGATTATATGAGAATATATTTATTCTGGTGGTCAAAGGTCAAAGGTCACAGTGACGTCATGTTGAGGTCAAACTCACTGTTTATGTACTAAAACTTTTAAAACTTTTTTTTTCTCCAAATGATTTTTACTTCCCTTCTTCATCCGCTGGATTCAAAATCTTTATGAAGAGAAAAACACATTTTAAATTCATGTTATAAATCAATGTTCAATAAAAAGTCATTTCTAATCTCTCAGCTGTTTTGTGATGAACCTGTTTCGTTTTTAATTATTGTATTCAGCTAATTTAATTAATAATAATGATCCCAGGGAGCATTTCTTTTTAATACTCTCAGTATATTACTTTTACTCAAGGACCATTTAAAATGCAGGACTTGCAGTATTTTTACTTCCCTGAGTAATTGGATTACTTCCTCCGCCTCTGAGGAGGTGAAAAAAGAGAAAAAATTAGTTTGAGTATAAGTTTGAGTGAAGCAGCTTTTTATTTTTAGGAAGTTTTTTAATCATCGTCACTGAACAATAATTTACAAACAGCTTCATTCATTTAATCACAGAAAGTCATTGATTCTTCATAAATACAAACAGATACATTAAATACAGTGGATCTGATAATATGATTTATAATAATACTGAAGTTCATCAGATAAAAACATTTACACCCTCACACTGTAAAAAACACCTGTTTTAATGATTTGTAATAAAAAGATTTTTCAATCATCAGTGAAATTTAGATTTTGTTGTTATGAGTCATGAGAATTTTTTTTTATTCAGTGTTTTTCAGTTTGTGTATCGAATAACGACGAGAGTCAGGTCGGACACGCGCACTTGCACTCTGAGATGATCGGGTACTGAACCGGGATCCAAGCGCACTTGAGGCCGCCTCTCCTCTGCAGACAGCGCCACCTCAGGATGGTGAAGTGAGTGGACCTGGAGGGTCTGCAGAGCATCCCCTCCGGCACCGAGCAGGACCTCTTACTGAGGCAGCTCCCCACCTTCACGTAGCGCGGCCAGAACCTGCTGCCCAGGTCGTTCCATGCGTAAACCACCGGACAGAACGCGTACGACCACAGCCACAGCTGCAGGCGCCTCCGGAGCTTCTTACTCGGCTTCTGCTTCTTCCCGTGCTGCACCTCGAACTCCATGGCCCGGATCTCTTTGGGCATCGCCCCGGAGAGTTTCTGTCTCGTCTCTGCGTCGCTCACATCCTCGTTCCCTGAGTACTTGTCCTCCGGGGAGGACACAGACATGAAGTGCGGGTCGAAGTGGCTGCCCATTGCGCTCCGGAGCTCCGTCTCATTCAGGTCCTTCTCCTTCGGGTCCAGCACCGGGTCTGGGTCCTCCTTCAGCTCCACCACGGGCAGAGTGTCACTGGGGATGGGGCGGAGGAGATAATAGTGTTGGCACATTCCCTCTTCGATCCTGAAGCCCATAGAGAGAACGAGCAGAAACACAGCAAAGAAATAACAGTTATCCATGTCCTCAGTGCGCGTCCACAGCGGCTCCACAGCTCAGTGCGCACAGTTCATCCAAAGACTCAGTGCGCACAGTTCATCCAAAGACTCAATGCGCACAGTTCATCCAAAGACTCAATGCGCAAAGTGCATCCACAAACACACTCAGACGTTCTTCTTTCAGAGTTTGACACAGGAATCCAACAGGCAGCTTAGATCGCAGAGGAGCGGATCCTCACAGTCCATGACTCGGATCCCTGCGGGACGACAGGCGGCCTCAGCCCCGGACTCCCCCGGTCAGCAGGTCCCGGTGAAGCCGCTCAGCGCCCCGCAGCTCGCTGCTCTCTGTCCGCATGTTGGCGCACCGGCTCCCGCTGCTCCGAACTGAAGGAGCCACAGACTGCAGCCAAATATCCAGCAGGGCGGTGATGTCATCCAACCCCCCCCCCCCC